AAAATAAGGCACAACCAAAGTGAAAACAACAATAAACAAACTCAGTGCTTTTTTTTTAGTGCAAAGTAATATATTTCTTAGTAAAGTGAAATTCGGGCAAAGATGACACTTTGCAAAAACACAGCCCACACATACATTATGCAAATATTTAAAGGATTCAGGAGTTTTTATTGCTCTCAGACAGGTCTCTGGGCAACCAAATCAGTACACAACAATAAGGAGTTATCAGCCTTTTAAAATTTACACTAAGGCTTCTGTGGCTGACCTTTTTCTTCTCTCTTATGAAATACTCACATTGTACTTCCATAAAACTATGGAATAGTTACTGTATTTACTGAAAAAATAAATAAAACCCTCAAGATGTGAATCCTACTGAACAGTATCCTCTTGACTTGGTGATACTCTGACCTGAGGAAAAATATCTTCTGCTGTCTCTGAATAGTTTGGTATTTTGGAGCCACTTCACTATAGCATCAAATTCATCAGTATGACATTTTCCAAGTAGCCAGTAAATTCTGTCTCATCATGTGCTGACAAGATTGTGAGCAAAATAATACCCACTTTATAGATAATTACTTGGGGTTTAGAAATATTGTATTGATTGTTGGACCCACGGAAGCAGCTGCATTAACTTGATTAAGGTACAGCCCTGATTATATGCACCACATTTAGGCAATTACATGCAATCTAACAGTGGAAACACAGGAACAAAGGTTTGCACTAGGTTAAAGCCATAGGCTATATAGGTGTTTCAGCCTTCTTTTTGTTTGTCTTGAGACTCAAAAGGCTTATTGCCTTCACTGTAGCAACTGTTCCCAGATTAAAGAATAAATGAAGAAAGGAAATTTAAAGGCTTTCTCTATGAGGAAGTTGCTATGAGTGGGCTATTTACTGAGTAGCAAGTATGTATCGCTGGGTTTTTTCACACATTTACTGTTTTTCAGGAGTTTTTATCAGGAGAAAAATGTTTCCTTAGTTTAGATAATGTCTAAATCTGTGTCTGTTTTCTCAGAATAGAGCAGCCTAAAACATGTATTTGAATGGAAAACAACAAACCACAAACAAAGCAGCGCTCATGTGTGAATGGGAGCTGCTCTGTTCATGGGTATCAAGCATCTCTGTCGTTTGAGATTGATGAATTAATTGCTGTGGGTTGTTTCAGCTTGCCCACCCTCCCACTGGGGACCAAACTGCATTCACACATGCAACTGCCACAACGGAGCTTACTGCAGCGCCTACGACGGGGAATGCAAGTGTACCCCAGGATGGACTGGCCTTTACTGCACACAGAGTAAGTGACTTTATGTTCCATGATCAGTCTACACATCAGAGACACAATTATCCCTCAGTGTTTCCATGCTTTATTCCTTGAATTCTTCCCATGCTGATGAGCCTGTTTTGATCCAGGAGACGCAGCACACTGCTGCTGTGAGAAGAGTCTGTATGAGCACTGGCAAGGTGCTGGCCACTGCATCAGGCTCCTCTTTAGCCTTCCTTCAGAGGAAGACAGGGTTTTGTTGCAGCCAGGCATCCCTGTGGAAGAGTCTGTGTGTACACACACGGAATGAATGACCCTGACTTTTAGATGCTTCCACTGCAGACATCCAGTTACAGCTCCAGTCTGTAGCATGGATGAAGTCAGCTCTGCAGGCGTTCCCCACAGGGTGGGATGACAATGCCATCCCTCTCTGAACCCTCCACAAGAAGTACTGTAGCAGCAGGGATCCAACAACTCAATTGTTAGGTAACACAAAGCTGACTGAAGCCATGAGAACAGCTTCTGGCTCAGCCATGGCTGTGGTCTACTGAGGCACTGCCCCTGTTGTCACTGCAGAGTGATTATACAGTACATCCATATCTGCAATTGCTACCTCCCAGGGGCAATAACAACAGCTGTAGCTCAGCACCTGTAATTCAACTACTGATACAGAAGCTATTTTATTTGAAACATGGAAAGTTAACTTCACCAGATTCCAACATCATCATTTGTTTGGGAATTTTCTTCATTTAGTAATACAGATTTTTTTTTCCCAAGGGCTTTTCATTTAAATAAAGAAGTCATGCAATGACTGGGTGTAGGTATATGGCACTGATTATGAGCTGGGTAAGAGTTCATACAAAGTTTGAGAAATAAACATTTGTTAGAAATAAATATTGGTCAAGTTGGCTTCTTATCTTTAGCATATTACACCTTCAGTTTGGTTTACCTTCAATTCAGGCAGTCACAGCTCCCACTGACTGTTATCTGGGCACAGCCCTTATCTTTGACCTCAAAAAAACATGGCTGTGTTCTGCATTCAGTGTTTAAATATATGTTTTTCATAAAAATCAGACTCTCCTTTTTCAAAATGAGTAATGTCACAGCGGCAAGAAATAGCAGATACGTTATGGGGCCATATGGATGGAGTTCTGGAAGACATTCACTATGCTGGTTCAGCTGTCAGCTATCACGGTTATTTTGCTTCCTGCTGGTGAATAATGATCTCTTTGCAGTAGTATGTCTTCTTCATACTGAAATGCTATCTTTGTGAGTAGCTCAGATACAATATGTTATTATTTTAATTTTTCTTGTGCTTCAGCATAAACTGCAAAGAAAATGTGTCCAACGGTTCCCTGATAGCTGCTCTGGTTCACAAACTGCCCTCTCTCTCCTTCAGTTATCTTCTTAAATCCATTTCTTCAAGGAGCTGTTCTTGCTGTCTTCCTCAGAACCACTACTGTCTGCACCATTTCCCAACCTCATTTTTACATGGTTTTTTGCCTAATGTGTACTTTATATGACATTGAGCAGGGTAGGTCTTGATCAGTCACGTTTATGGATGCCATGTCTCTGTAGTGAGCTACAGAAATGAGCTCCCCATAACATACTTAACCACAATATTTGCATTTTATTTCTGGAGCAGCTGTTTCACTGCTTTTCCCCTCTCTCTCCTTGTGTTGCAGGATGTCCCCTGGGGTTTTTCGGGAAGGACTGTGCATTAATATGCCAATGCCAGAACGGAGCTGACTGTGACCACATCAGTGGGCAGTGCACCTGCCGCACAGGGTTCATGGGGAAGCACTGTGAGCAGAGTGAGTACACACATGGGATTGTTCCTGCCTGATGGCAAGCGCTAAACCCTGAGCCAACCCCTTCTGGTTTTGGCCAGTGTTGTGATACAGCCTCTTGGCTTCTGGGACTAGGAATAGGGGCTAATATTTTATTAGGAAAGAAAATACATATAGAAAGAGAGTATGGAATGATGTGGAGGGATGTGCTGTTCTTTGGCTGATTTTCCATGGTCATCCCAACAATCTCTACTCTTTGGTAGCATTGGTTGCCCAGGGAGGCTGTGGCTGCCCCAGCCCTGGCAGTGTTCATTCCAGGTTGGATGAGCCTTGAGCAACCTGCTCTGGTGGGAAGTGTCCCTGCCCAGTGCAGGGGTTGGGGCTGGATGATCTCTAAGGTCCATTCCAACTCCTGAAATTATATGATTCTATATTTTATTAAGACTGACCACAGAACAACAGAATGGGTTAGGTTGGAAGGGGCTACAGTGTGTCATCTAGTCCAATCTCCCTGCTCAAGCAGGACTATCCTAGAGCACATGGCTCAGGATTGTGTCCAGATGGTTCTGGAATGCCTCCAGTGAGGGAGAATCCACAACTTCTCTGGGCAATCTGTTCAGTGCTCAGTGACTGCACAGGAAAGAGGTTCTTCCTCATATTCAAGTGGAACTTCCTGTGCATCAGTTTCTGCCTTTACCTCTTGTTTTATTGGTTTCCACCACCAAGCAAAGCCTGATCCATCCTTTTGGCACCCTCCCTTCAGATACTTGTATACATTAATGAAGTTCCTCTCAGTCATCTCTTCTTGAGACTGGACAGGCCAAATTCCCTCAGCCTTTCCTTGTAAGAGAGATACTCCAATCCCCTAATCATCTTTATCCTCCACCACCGGACCTCCTCAGGGAGCTCCATGGGTCTCCTGTCTTCTCTGATGATGATTATGATGGTTGTTTCTTTCAGTTTGGAACTAAATGTAAGAGGCATTTGCCCTTCATTTTAGTTGCTCTGGACATAACGGTAAAAAAATATACCCAATAACTCTGTCATGTACCAGCAATGAATGAATCTAAGTAATTGTCGTTAGCATAAACCAGAATGAAAACTAATAGTTAGAAAACAAAAGATAAGAATCACAGAGTCATTAAGGTTAGAAAGAACCTCCGAGACCATCAAGTCCAACCTATGACCTAACACCATCATGTCAACTAGACCATGGCACTAAGTGCCACATCCAGTTTTTCATTAAACACCTCCAGGGATGGTGATTTCACCACCACACTGGGCAGCACATTCCAGTGTGTAATCACCCCTTCTGTGAAGAAATTCTTCCTAATGTCCAACGTAAACCTCCCCTGGCACAGCTTTAGACTAAGTCTTCTTGTTCTATAAGAAGTAGCACATCAATCCTAGTGGATAAAATTAACCTTTGCCATGAGGTTTTACCACACAATTGGAGTATAAAAGCATCATAGATTACGTTTTGTTTTCATGTGTGAGATTCTCCACTTATCAAAATCCAGAACAACACCCCTGACATCAGTGGTGGTATAACATAGTACAATACTAAAAGAATAATCTGGGTTATAAGCACAGAACTGTTTGTAAAGGTTAGATGTTTACATTTTCTTATTCTACTCTGATGATTTTTAAGTTTCACTTCAAAAGGGCAATAATGATAAAAGATAAACTCTTTAAGATCATCTGATGTCAAAAAATCATTATGAATACTTTGGCATATCTGATTATTCTTATGCTTTATAGATTTTATATTTTATCCTACAGTTCAACAATACTGTAATTATTTGATAATAATTGTTAATGATTAAAAAACACTAAACTAAATGTCTTGTTACTCATTTAATTCAGGTTTTAAAATGCCAAAGCACATTATGACATGATGGTTTCTGCCCAGCCATTTACTTCGGTACTTACAGTCTTGTTTTATTGACTGCAATCACGAGAAGGAGACATATACAAGCAAAAAATTTCACTTGAGTCTGGATCTGTCAAGACTGCAAGAACATTGGCACTCATTGTGTTACTTTATTTTGTAAATTATTCAAAATTAGGAATATATAAAAGAAGAGTTACATTCTTTTAAAAAGGCAGAAAGAAAAACAAGTTGACAGTTACAGAACTGTCGAGAGATCTCCGAAAATCGAGTCTCAGAAGATGAAGAAACTTGCTGAAACCATCAGAACTACTATAATGTTAACAGTCCACACATTGCCAGAGGTGGCAATATAAAATAGAGAATTTTTGTCAGTGTAGGATAATGCTCTACCATGCTAGTTACATGATGTAGGAGACACTTTGACCAGTAAATAATGATTGTATTCAAATCATTCCAGGGGACAAAAAGTTATGCAACATTTCCAATTAGCTTATTCTCTGTAATTTGGATTTTTCTCCTGAAGGAAGTTTCTCAGCATACACATTACAGTATCAAAGTATGCTGTAAGCAGCAATTTTGTGTTTATATAAACCTGTGGTGTATTCCGGTCGCGTTCTCATGGCCCTTAGCTCTTGCTCTTTTACATCAGCACATCTGTCATAGGACCTGACACCAGCCAGATGTCTGGCTCCACTCGTATCATTACGTGATTTTTCAAGCTCTGGGATCTGAGTCACCTGAGAGACCTGATGTTCTGGTGTAGAACTGACCCTTTAGTCACACTTTGCCCATCGCTTCCCTCTCTTCTACCCTTGTAACCTGTAAAGCCCTTCCCGAAGAGGAAGTGCTAATGACACATTGCCATCTGCTGACCACCCACAGAAACGTCTGGGGTTAGGAGCGCTGGGGACCATGTGTGGTGCTGCAGGTCTGCGATACCAGAGCATTGAACAAGCAATGACTGTGCCTGATGTTTACTTGCCTTTGTTTTGTGCAGAGTGCCCCCAGGGTACCTATGGGTATGGCTGTCGGCAGATCTGTGACTGTCTGAACAACTCAACCTGCGACCACATCACGGGCACATGCTACTGCAGCCCAGGCTGGAAAGGGGCCAGGTGTGATCAAGGTAAAGCCTAGGTGCAATAAAATTACTCTAACCGTTTCATATGAAAATTAACCCACTAAATGCCAACTCTGTCTCATCCATTAAGTCAGTCTGATAGGGGATGTGTATTTAAGTAGTCCATTCTGTTAAATTACGTGTGTTCTGTGCACTTTAACTCGGACGCCTCAGTGATCATTGGAGCAAAGCACTCAAAGTATCTTGCATGTTTTACAGTCCTGTGCTGTCAAAAGCTGTTGATAGAGCATGTCCTTTACCTGCCCTGGGCTTTTGCCTAGTGAATGTTCTTACTTTTTTAAATTCATGAAATAATCTCATTCTATGAAGATTGTTTTTCCTTAAGGCCAGGATTGTCTTCACATTGCTTTCTGACATAGTTCTGTTCTGGCATTATTAAATACATCTAAATTAGCAGAAACATTCAGAAATGAAATATTGTCTTCTGCTCCTGTCACTTGACCCTCTTAATTTACGCCACATACTTTAATTTCTTCTTGTATTTCAGCTGGTGTAATTATAGTGGGAAACCTGAACAGTCTGAGCCGTACCAGTACTGCTATCCCTGCTGACTCCTACCAGATAGGGGCTATAGCAGGCATCATCATTCTTGTCCTGGTTGTGCTTTTCCTGCTAGTGCTGTTCATCATCTACAGACAGAAGCAGAAAGGAAAAGAAACAAATATGCCCACAGTGACCTACACCCCTGCTATGAGGGTCATGAATACAGATTACACCATTTCAGGTAAGTGACATTTAGAACCAAGTTTTTCCTCCATCTCTTGACTCTGTGGTTTTTTAGTTGAGCTCTGAAGGGGTTCAGATCTGCCCCTACCATTGAATGTACCTGTTTCAGCTGTGAGCAGCAATACACTCTGTTTTGAAAAGGATGTCTACAAATTCTGGCCTGGAAGCCTTCTGGAAAGAGAGGCTGGGGAGAGTTTCCTTCTTTAGGAAGAGGAAGGCTGAGACACTGCTCCCATCTGGATTTTGCAGGAGGGCATCCCCTGAGACCACACAGACAGTGGTGCTGGTGAACTGTCACACAAGACCAGTGGGATGTGATGATAGACTTGTGTGGTCACCTTTCAGCTATCACGGACAGGTCACCTGAGTTCAGAAGGATGCTACCCCAGCATCTGCAGCTTATTAGTTCTGCATCACTGTCTTTTAATCTCTGCTTTTGATACCTTGGAGGTGGCTCACCCTGGTGAAATGTGTTAATTATAAGGAAAAAGTGACCATATATATACCTCACTTCACTGTCTAACATTTTGCACCCTCAAATGTGGGGTTTTTGCATTAAACAGTGTAAGTATGGACATGGCTATTCCTCTGTGCCTATTTTAAAATTAGAATTGGAGTTTGGCAAAATATTGTTTCTACAGAGGCTTTAAATTAAATGCCAACAGCCTGGACAGAAAGACTGTTATGGCTGTAGAAAATGAGGATTTCACACCAACTGTGCTAGGAGAAGCAGATAGCAAAGTGGCTCAAGTTTGAAATAAATTAAGGGAAGGAGCAATGCTCCTGAAAGAAACAGGAGTTTTTGACCTATGAAAGAAAGCTGGGATGCAATGGGTACATGAAACTTCAGGCAATGCTGTCTTTTGCACACTGCTATTAAGGAAAGCAGCAGTTGAAGAAGACACCAGAAAAAATGGTCAGAGTTAAGAGAAAGCGAATCAGCAAAGGTGCTGGTGCTCTTGAAGCACTAGAAACTGTTGGTGTGAACGTGGTGATACAAAGGACTTAACTAGGACAATGCTATTACTAGAGAGGAAAACCAGAGCAAAGGACCACAGCAGACAGAGAAGTTAGCAAGTAACACTGGTGAATGCTCTTTGCTGAAAGTGTGGGCATTTGTCACTTACGCTCTGGATCTCTATTTCCTTTTAATGAATATAAGATTTTTAGTTGGTTGTTAAGAAACTTGGAATCAGATTCTGAAGTCAGTGCAGCACTGTCAAAAGCACATCTTAAGGAAGAAGGGCAGTTGTTCATTTTTCTTTCTCTTCCCTTTCAGAAACCATCCCTCACAGTAATGGTGGAAATGCCAACAGTCACTATTTCTCCAATCCTAGTTATCATACTCTAACTCAGTGCACTACCCCACCTCACGTCAACAACATGGACAGACTGACCTTGGCAAAGGTAAACACTAAAACTCAGGAAACTTCTGTGCCAATTACTCTTTAGTTTATTTTACTTTGTTCCCTAATGCTCCCTGATTGGTTTATATTTGCTTTCCCCGATTATCACCTGGAAATGCAGCAGCTTCCCACCAGTTTCAGTTTCTATCTTTCTTTGAAACAGACAAAAAACAATCAGCTGTTCATGAACCTTAAAAATGTGGAACCTGGAAAGCGAGGCACTGTCATGGACTACACAGGAACACTGCCAGCAGACTGGAAACACGGTGGCTACCTCAATGAGCTCGGTAAGGATGGGAAAAACAGGGCAATGTGAGTGTTATTCATTGTGTGTGGGATGGATTGGAAGGCAGCAATGCTTTCCTGATTCTTTGCTCAGGTCTGTCAGGTTGTGTGTGAGGTCCAGGGTTATGGGTTAGACCTTCCCTTAAGGCAGGAACCTTGGAGATAAAATGGTGACTCCTTGTAAGGTATGGTGAAACACTCTGATGCCCAGTGCAAACACAATATGCAAACCCCCTCACATTAGTTTCATTAAAAGGTTTGCTCATTGATTAGCTGAATAAAACAATGAGTGTTGCACAATAAGGGTCTGTCTTCTTCGACCGAATCACATATTAAATAAATGAAAGGTTGCATGCATTCTTTTTTCTTTTAAATCCCCTCCAAACAGAATCATTGCTTTAAAAAGTAGTTTCTCATGATCTGAGCTGCTTCAGATGTAAATGTTAGGAGATGTTCCCAGCTAGGCCTCCTGTTTGCTAGAAGACAGAGCATTGAGAAGAAAAATTCCCAAGAAGTGGTGAGAGCTGCTGTTGTGTCCTGCTTTATGCTGGTTTTTCATCCCTTTCCAATCTCATGCATGCCAAAAGGGCTGGGTTGCGCTGACCACTGAAAGCCTTAAAGGGGACTTTCAGTGCCAGTATCACTTGGATCATTTAACTACCTTCATTCCTGATACTTATACATATCAGATTCTGGGATTCAGAACAACAGCGTGCAGCATTATTGCTTTTTCCCTGCTCATCCTCAATCTCGGTCAAGCCACAGTTCAGGCTCAGGTCTGCTGGGTTTGGTTTGGGTTTCTTTCAGAAAAAGGTTTAATTCATAATGCTCAATGGTCAACTTCACATGTTCTTAGAGCATTTGCACGAGCACTAAAGGCTCCTGAGAGATACTTGCTGTGGTCAACTCATGGCAGGAGATCCTGAGTAACAGGGAAATGCTAGAGGACTGGATGAGTGCTGGTATTATGGCTATTTTCTAGAAGTTCAAATGGCATTATTTGGGTAAATTGAGGCTGGTGGTCTGGCCATTAGAAAACAACAGAACAGCTGACATGAGATCTCATAAATAAAGATGGGGTAGGAATAAAATTAATTGGTTTAGATCTCCTCAAATAGTATAATTTCCTTATTGAAAACTATGAATTTTGTTTACAGAGATGTTGTGTTGATAAAACGATTTTAGGCTTTTATAAGGCTTCTAGCATAGTCCCACAATTAGCACTCCACAGTATCAATCCAAGCTATTTGAATGGATTAGTAACCAGGTAAGTGCCAGGTCTCTGAAGACAAGTTGTCATGTGTTGCTGATGTTTACATTGGGATCTATGTTGAGATCTGTCACTAATGGGTAATTGCAAAGTTGTAGACTTAGGTCCTGTGTGTTTAAGCCATTCCTGCAGGTCAGGTGACTGGAACAGTGACTCTGGGCATGATTAAATTTGGGAGTGATTAAAATGGGAAGTGTCAAGACATGGAGTGAACTTTGCATGCCCTGAGATTTTCAAGTCAAGGTGGGATGTTTTTCTGGTAGATATGCTTAAATCAAACAGCAGTTATTGGGATCATTCAAGAATAACTGGGGGAAACGTAATGGCCTGCAATATATGAGAGGTCAAACTAGATAATTTAATGGTCCCTTATGACCATCACCACCTTCCATGTTCAGGAAGTTCCTGACTGAAAGTGTGCAAGCAAAAAGTAACAATACTTCTGTACCCCTATCCTGGGCAGTTTCACAGCGCTTAAGAATTATTCTGCTAAGGCAGAAGTTTGTCCCAAAGCAATGTTAAACCTTTAGAAGCTGTTGTCTAGTCACTTTTCTTTGATTTTAAAACTGCTCTGTTTTTTTATGTCATTTTTCTCAGGTGCTTTCGGACTCGATAGGGGATATTTGGGAAAGTCCCTGAAAGGTAAGGTTACTTTCTGATGTATTTAGGTGAAATGAAGTAGACATTCAGTTTACTCTTCTGGATTATCTTTGCTTTCTGGATGAAGAGAATATATCTAAAACTAATTTTGGACTACATTTGTCCTGGACACTGAATCAATGCATGAAGTTTGTTTGCCAGTTGTTGGTTTTTTTCCTTATATAAAGGAAAGTGGGGGTTTTTAAAAGACAAACCAAAGAAAAAGCAACAACAAAACAAACCTTTTCAAGTCCCCTATGTGCCACATACATCAAATGTTTCTGTAATGCTTGAGTCACAACACAGCTCCATTCTAGGCAGCAGAAGGGGGAACAGCCTTTGAATTCAGCCTAGTGAGTGAGGCAAGGACACATACTGTCTCTGGTGAAAGGCTTTAAAGAGTGCCAATTCCTCTTGCAGCTGGCATGGTCAGTGTAGGTCTGCATGACTGCAAGGCTGTAGTGCTTCATCACATTCACTGCAGACCTCTGGAAAGGATATCAAAATAGAAATACATAGGGAGGAATGAAAAGCTTCAGAAATTCAGGGTAGTCATGATATTTTGATCTTTCAGACTATTCAGTTTTCTCAAAAGACTTTATACTGTACCATACTAGTGCTTGTCACTACTTTTGGTCTGTGATTAAGTTATGCCCAGGGTGCCTAGAATGCCTGCATATCTAAACAGTGGAAAAGGTTTAGCTAAATCCATGAGTTAAATAGGCAAAAGCAGCTGGTTCATCCCCTTGTGTGTAATACAGGACAATTAGGGTGAAAGAGTGATTTATTACACTTGACATTTCCTGCCCTTGGGTGACAACAACCCCTCCAGTGCTCCAGACTGGGGCAGAGTGGCTGGTAAGCTGCCAAGCAGAAAAGGACCTGGAGGTGCCAGTTGACAGTAGCTGAACATGAGCCAGCAGTGTGCCCAGGTGGGCAAGAAAGCCAAGGGCAACACTGGCTTGTGTAAGCAGTAGTGTGGCCAAACCACCAAGGCAGTGACTGTCCCCTGTGCTAGGCACTGGTGAGGCACCTCAAATCCTGGGGTCAGTTTTGGGCCCTTCATGACAAGAAAGACATTGAAGGGTTGAAGTGTGTCCAGAGAAAGACAGTGGAGCCAGGGAAAGATCTGGAGCACAAGTCTTACGAGGAGCAGCTGATGGAGCTGGTGGGGCTCAGCCTGGAGAAAAGGAGGCTCAGGGGAGACCTTACTGCTCCATACAACTCCCTGACAGGAGCTGGTAGCCAGGTGAGGGTTGGTCTCTTCTTCCAGGTAACAACTGACAGGACAAGAGAAAAAGGCCTGAAGTTGCACCAGGAGAGGTTTAGATTGGATATTAGGGACAATTGCTTCATTGAAAGAGTTGTCAAGCCCTGGCACAGGCTGCCCAGGGCAGTGGTTGAGTCACCATCCCTGGAAGTATTTAAAAGACATGGAGATTTGGCACTTAGGGACACGGTTTAGTGGTGAATTTGGCAGTGTTACATTAACAGTTGGACTCACTGATCTGAAAGGTCTTTTATAATCTAAACAATTCTATGATTAGAGAAAGTTCAATTTCAAATACCTTAAGTGAGTTACAAAGTGATGAGCACCTATCCAGTGACAGGCTCACCAAGGTCACTCTGATGCTGGATATTGAGTCAGGAACAAGAAAAGAAATTCTCAGCTCCAAAACTTAAATAACACATCATATCACAAAGCAACACCAAGAAAAAAGTAACACAAACAGCACAAAATCACTTCCCAGCATGAGAAAATACATCTTCTCTGAAACCACAGTTACCTGTCCTGCGGTTAAACCCTGAAATTACAAACCACCTGGTGTTTTCTGTTCAGTTCTCCTGTGTGTGCCTAGCAGAAACTTACAAGAAGAAGCTGGTTACTCTTTCAGTGAGGCTGCGTACTTAAACTTTGCACCAAATAGATCATCCCCAGAAGTTATGTGCCATTTGCCCTGACACTGCTCTTGGGAACAGTGTTTGATCATTTATTTTAATAGTGTCCTGAGTTCAGCACTTGGAAAGGCAAAATATATTCTGAAATGCTCATTAAAAACTGATTCTACACATTATCTGTATATCCTGCTAGCTGATATTTTGACCAGAATTGAAGATGCTCAGGCATCAGTAATTTGCTGGTAGCAAGATCCAGCCCATTAAAGAGTATAGCAGTTGAGATGCTTTCATTAATTGTTGTATGTTGGGGTCCTTGTGAGGGACGGACTACAGCACACCATTATGATGCTCTGATAGCCACCTCTATTTAGGGCACCTAACAGTATTTATAGTAAAAAGTCTCCCATACACACAGCTACACGCTGGTCATACAACTCTGGATTGGTTGCTCAACTTGTCAGTGCATACAATTCTTACAGTTCATACAATTTTAAGCTGCATCCCACTCTCACATCCTGGGAAACTAATAGCAAGAACTACATAGTGTCTGTAAGAATCTAAATAACAGCACTATTTTAGCTTGTTAGCAAGACAACTTATCTATAAGGCAGTAAAACTGGAACCAAACCCAAAAACCCTGGCAGCAGGAGAGAACAAGACCATTATAAGGTGTTGGATTGAAGACACAGGAATGCATGAATATAGAAACAAGGTCAGCAAGACCTACTTTGTGTGTCTTGTTTTTAACTGCTTAAGCATTCCTGTAACTGTTGTTCAGGTTACAGCTCCTCTGCTAGCCAGGCCCCAACAGTTGTACAATAATTTTTAGTGTCATTTATGAGTGACTTTTTAGAACTCAGAATTAAAGGTTGCCCTTTTGTTAGCAGCAATGCCCATAACGTGCAGCATGGTTGAGTAATGGGGTTTTCTTTCTGTAGATCTAGTGAAGAACTCAGAATACAATTTGAGTAATTGCTCACTAAGCAGTTCTGAGAACCCTTATGCAACTATAAAAGACCCACCAGCTCTTGTACCAAAAAGCTCAGAGTGTGGATACGTGGAAATGAAGTCACCCGCGCGCAGGGACTCCCCATACGCTGAGATCGCCGGCTCTGCTGCAGCCAACAAGAACGTGTACGAAGTTGGTATGTACAGTATCCATGTCCAGATGCTGCAGGTTAGAGAACAAACAGCCCAGGACCCTTTTCCCTTTGTTTCAGTTTAATCAAAATCCCTGAAGCTAAAAATTGTAACAGATGATGTGTCCAGATTCTGTTCTCTGCTCAAACTCTTTTGACATAGCAGTGTAATTCACACAAACAGGGCTGGAAATACCTTCGGCTCTGCTCTGTAACCTCAAGGTAGCTCTGAATGCCCCTGGTTTGAAAGCCTTTCTTTAAACAACAGCATAAGATTAGCATTTGATAGCAGTATAATTCAGGTCTAGGTTAGAGTGTTTGAACACAGCTGGAGTAAGTGTATGGGAGGGACAGAAAAGATCTGTTTCCTTCTCTGGATCACAGTAAAATAGCATCCTCACCCACAGAGTATTTCACTAATACGGGCCCTATCTAGTTGCTGTATTGCTGTAGTTACGGAAAACTTTGGGGTCTTTGGAATGGTAGCTACCCTGATAATTTCTGATCTGGACTAAATCGTCATGTGTCATAGGACACCATTTTCCTTTTCTATCCCCTTTTAGAGATTACTCTGAAATCCATCAATATCTCCACTGTGCTTTTAAGGGCTGCTATAAAATCTCAATTAAAACCCCAAAATTCAGGCTTTTTTTGTTTTGTTTTGTTTTAGTTTGCCCACACATAAAGAAGAGATGCTGGTCCACTTGCTCCTGTCAGTAAATATACTCATGGCAGAGCCCGGCTGCAAACCCACAGGTGTAACTTAGCATGAAGCCAAAACACCTTGACATCAGCCTTTCTTTTTATTCCTGCATCTCAGGACTCAGCATGACAAGGAATGCTTATATTGAAGCAGAAACTGAGGTGAAATAGTGTTTTCCTTCTGTTTGTCTCTTCTAATGTGGAATGTATGTGCTCTCTTTTATCACAGAGCCTACGGTGAGTGTTGTCCAGGGAGCCTTCAGCAGCAGTGGACGTTTCAGCCAGGATCCTTACGACCTCCCAAAAAACAGCCATATTCCATGTCATTATGACTTGCTACCAGTCCGAGATAGCCCCACATCCTCCACAAAGGAGGTCAACAGTGAATGACCCCAAAAGCTGGCGTGTAGAACAGTGGGACTCTCAAGGGGCAAAGTGGCATGGTTGTGCTCCTTCCTCTAGTTTACCATCATGTTTGGCTCCCAATCTGTCCAGCAGGTAATTGCTGTACATTAAACAGAATCTCAACACGAGGTTTGTATTGTGCATATAAGTGACAGATGGACAAATGCCACGCTCTGGGGATCCTGAATATTTTTTTCTCATGGCAGTAAATTTTATAGAAACAGGTATGCAACACATTTATACTGTAATATACTGGCCTAAAAAATATTAGTTTGCAGATGAGTTTTGATAACATCCCATTTTAGTGACTTTAAATATAGACTTCATGTTTGTCATCTTTCAGAGTAGAAATACTCCCAGAACAGTGCAATTTACCAAATACCACTTTGTACAGGTGATCTGATTCACTAGGTATTCACTAGTAGGAGAAAAACTGCCTTGCCAAATTTTACCTTCCATTCTTATCTTTAGTCAAGACATATTAAGAAACAAGTTCTGATGGGGATAAGTAAGCACAATGCTGCAGTTGTTTGGGAAATCCATCATCAAGCTCTTTTGTCCATTACTGGTGGTGGGCATACTTTGCTTGAATAGTTCTGGAGATGAAAAAATTGCATACATCAATATTTTATGATGCTTCAAGATCTCTTAGTACTGCAGGCCCAGCACCAGTCCTCAACAAATGTTTTGCTACCGTTCCAGCTTCACACGTTGCAGTTCCGACCACTGCCACACACAGCTAATAATCCATAACATATCAGTAAATACTTAAAAAAAATATGTAAATGAAATCAGTTTATTTTTGTCACCACGGACTGATTATTGTAAGGAGTGGACAACGGTGATGACTTCTGTAAATCTTAACTGCAAGGAAGGGTTTACATTTTATAAACAGCTAGTAATAATGACTGTAATATAGGATAAAAATAGTAAAGTGCTCTGATGATTTTTTTTCTTAGAAATAACTAAGCAAACTCTGTGCATACTTGCTAAAAAGGCACCTTTTCTTTTTTTATAGTTGGT